ATATATATATATATATACCGACAAATATTACTCAAAATAAAACACCAAGTGTAAGTTTATTTTAGAGTTACGTTCAATGTAACCCAAAAGTAACATACTAGTTGTTTTGATATTTTTACATTGAAAAGATGAAAAAATCTGTTTAACTAGTATTAGACGATTTCCCAAACTAGCTAATAAATGTTTAATAAATGTTACATAATTATAAGAAGAAGAAAAAAGATTTTTAATTTCAGAAAGATGAAAAAAAATTATAGGACTAAAATCAAATGTCATTTATTATAGAAGAACTTGAAATTATTTAAATTTTTTTACTGTACGTCTCTAGATACTAATTAATATTATATTAATTGAATCAAACTCTAATGGCCTAGCAATATATTTAACTGGAAAAAAAATGAATGAGGTCTTCGAAACTTAAGAAACCTAAGTGCAGACAAACTAAAAAATTAAAATCAGACTTGAGAAAAAGCTCAATATGAATAATAAATTTAAACAATAAAAAAAATAACAAACAAACCAACCTAATTAAAGGGAGAAAAAGTGTTGGAGAATACAAAGTCTGCTTTGAATAAAACAGAGAAACTAAAACATGTATAAGTTGAGGATGATCAAGTATATTTAGGCAGAAAATAAAATAACTCCAAAAGATGCTAATGTAATAATGTATGAAAATGATGGTGGAGTATGGAAAAAAAAATTGGGTTATAGATCCACAGAAGTGGGAAGCCTTAACCGGATGTGTATAGGAAAGCCCGAAGGCTGTTCCCGTCCCTGTCAGGGGAGATGCCAACCATCTCTCCTTTTCACGAACACATCCTGTTGCCACCAAACAATCTTTATAAAGAGTAAAATATTACTATAATTAATCGATGTGGGACTTAATGAAGGATGTCAATTTTTTTCTCTTTTGATAATCAACATGCATATAATCTTACGGCCTAGAACCACTATGTATAGCTAAGGACATAAATGAATTTTATGGCATTAGTTCTCTTCAAACTTAATTGTCTAGCTAAATCAGCAATCACCATTTGGATAAAGAGAAGATGCAGCTGATACATCATCGCCATTAACTGTAGCACCAAAGGAACCAAACCCACATACTAAAGTTACAAGGAATTCAACAAGAACATATGAGATGACAGTTTTAATTTTTATCTTTTCTTACAATTTGTGCAGGGTTCTTCAAAATTTGGATAATATGCTGATCAGTGCACGAAGTATTTGCATGAAAATCAAGGTGATAGTAAGATGATAGAAAAGATAGTCTTGTATGTAGAATGGGAAGAAGCAAGTGATCAAGTGGAGATTAAGGACACTTAGTGATGCATGGAACAGACCACATTTCTACTATATTTGTAGAGAAATTAGTCAATTTTATACCAACTTTTACAAATTAAAGAAAAATCACATTTAGAGAGATATAATTGTTTCTCAGCTACCCCGCTTAGACTACAAATATATACTTGTTTATATGACCAAAAGCAATTTGGCACTTTCTGACTTTTCAAAACAACATTTTTCATCTTCGATACATGATTTATTTATATTTAGTTGACAAAATAGAAGTAGACATTTCCATTTCCACGTAGTTTTTTAAGGTCAAATCCTGGTATAGACTCAATTCATGGAAGTTGATAAGCTAACTTAACAAAATGACGATGATGCAGCTTCGGGTGGCTTGTTATTAAATTTGACAAGCAACTCTAGTGCCATTTCAAATGGCATATGCCAAAGCTAGAAACTTTTGACTACGAAAACCAGTTGATATTTGCACACCTATCAGGTGAGTAAAACCAAAGATTCAATTGTTTTGAATGTGAGGAAAGTTAGGCCCTTCTGCACTAATGACATAGAGGACATAGAACAGTGTAGAAATTGCATAAGAAATATGAATGAAATTTAGATCATTTGTTTCCAGATACATCACACGGGAACACGATTGCTAATTGCTGAGGTTCCTCTCCATGTGTCCATACAGCACCTTTAATTTGCTATAGGTCATGTAAAGGAGAAATTTTTAGTTTTTTTTTTTCTTACAATGGGATAATAATTATTATCTAATTATTATATAGATTTGGTTTCTAGCACCCAAAAAATTTAATACTACTAGTTATTCTCGGTGGAATGGAAGAGAAAAGTTTTTCTGTAATATCACAAATATTTAAGCATCTCTCTACTTAAATTCTCCACTCATTCTTGCTGGGTACAGCAATTGCAGATTCTCTCCCAATCCCTTGAAAATGGAAATCATGCTCCAAAGTAAGGTTCCGGGTATTTCTGTCTACCTATCCCTCGTTTGTCCACAAAGAAAAATAAAAAGAAAAGGTCAAGCCTGTTGTGTTTCCTAACAACAGGATTAGTTGACTTGGTCTGGAACAACCCTTACTCAAAAGAAACTTCCCATATTAAAGGAAAACGAAAACCTGGAACTTTCTCCCTTGGAATTTACTTAGCAAGGGGATTTTGGACTATATTAAAAACAAGTGCTCTGCCACCATATGAATTATCAACGGTTTTGGACTATTCCTTAAAAACTCACCCATCTTCAAAAAGCATATTATAATTAAAAATAAATATTGTTAGTTCACTATCATATTTTTCTTTACGATGTTTTCTATATAAAAAAATTATTTGAGAGTATCAAAATTAATAATTAAAAAAAAAAACAGCACATGAATCGCATAATCATATAGTAAATAACATAAAAATAAAAGTTACACAATCATACGCAGTTGCTTAAATTAAAAACATTATTTAATAAATTTCAATCAAGTCTTACCAACCTTAGAATTTTACTTTATTCTTGAGCTAAATAAAGAATAAAGCAACCTTCAACCTTGAGGTGTAGTAAAATATAATAATTAATTAATATAATATAACTAAAAAATATGGGAACTATGTTGAAAAATGGTGCCAACAGGAGTGAAAGTTCGTGGTAGAAGCGGACAGGCTTTTTATAACGTTGGCGCTGTCAAACTCCGTCAACCTTCCAAACCACGCACGCGCCATAACGGCTGATATTCAAAACACGCGAAACTACTTCAACCATTAAAAGAAACAACCTCTCTCTTTCTCTCTTCTTTCTCTCACGCTTCCCAAAACCTCGTATTTAACTCTCTCCCTCTTTCTCCTTCTCATCTCAACGTTTCAAACTCAAACATTCACACATAACAAAACACATAACACATTTGTTTTAAGAAACACAGTACCATGTCGAGAGCTGTGGAGATGACAATTTTGTCCGCCGAAAACCTCCAAATGAACAGAAGGCCCGTTAGAGGGAACACGTTTGTGACGGTTCAATCCGACGCTAGCAGCGAAACGAGTGCCACGAGAGTGGACTCGGAGGGTGGAAGTTACCCTTCGTGGAATGAGAAGGTTGTGATGGACGTGCCATTGCATGCAAGGTTCATAACCGTTGAGGTGAGGTGCAAAACGTCGTCGTCGGGGTCTAACAGCGTTGGCGTGGCGCGAATACCCGTTTCCGATTTTATTGGAGGCTACGTGCCCGAAAATCAGTTGCATTTCTTGAGCTATAGATTGTGGGACGGTAAAGTTAGGAGAAACGGGGTTATAAATATTTCGGTGAGGGTCAAAGTAGTGGAACATTCTTGTAATGCGAATTCTTCTATGCCAGTGACTGGGGTGCCCGTGGCTGCTAATGGCTCCACTGGGGTTGTTAGAGGGGTTCCAGCTCTGTGGTTAAACTACCAAACAAATATTTGAAGGCTTTGATTTGTAAAAAAAGAAGAAGTCATTGGTTTTCCTTCTCCATTTGCTGTGGAAAAAATTTGACCAATAGCATTAAGATTGAAGAGGGATTCACAAAAGAATAATTCAAATAAATGTTGAGCAAGTATTGGCAAACTATTAGCTCAATTGCTTACTACTTATGATTTTTCTAGTAGTATATATATACAGTGTGAAGATAAGGGAATAAATTGCGATGTTTTTTTTTTTATTAACTAAAACTGTCACTATATATGTGTGTATAAGTTAATGGATTAAATGTGTTTTTAATATTTGATTATAATAAGAATTAAAAAATTATATAATAAAATTGTATGTGAAGTTAATGTTATTTATATTATTTTAAATATACATAAACAGAGAAAAGAAATTTACCTGTAGTAGTCTCTTCCTCTCTTCAGTATATTTATTATCAGATATATATGCACATGAGAGAGATTTAGCTAGGGGAATATGGAAAAAGGACAGTAAAATTTTTTTTAACATATTTTTATCTAAAATGGCCTCTTCTCATTTGAGTGTGGTTGCTTCAATTTCCTGGAAAGATTTGTTAAAATGTTGTTTCCTGACTTGGTGAAATTGGAAAATGCTTCATTCTCCCAAGTCCTAACCAGTGTTCTAAGAATGTTGCTTACATTTTAAAAATGTGTCAGCTAGTCACTTTTACTATATCCTTTGATTATGTGATTGTCCTTTGAAGGAGATGGCGGCTAGATTTGCTCCTAGGATTTGATTGCTTGAATTGTTTGACACTTGAGATGTTCCATGTTTACTTTATGCTGCTGCTCTGATGGCATGTAGTGTTCTTTTAAATTTCCATTCAGATGTTCATTTCTGGTGTGACCTTTTATTTACGAGCAATATTATTTGGGCGAGTTTATAGGCAAGTCTTTACAGAGAAATGGAAAGTTATCAGATTACCTTCATTTGCATGCATGATTTAACATATTTCCTGGTTTTGACTTATTGTGTATTGACATGTCAAACCAATATTTAGGCCCTCCCTCTTTCAAAAAATCGCTGTTTGCATAACCTGGAATGGAAATACTATCTTCCACAAAACAAGAAGAAATGGTTGATGTGAACTAAAGATCTTCTGGTGGTCATCTATCTCAACCTGAATTGGGGGGATGTGCTTCCTGAATGTGACTTATCTTGAAGTTCTGCATCTTTTTTGCTCCGTGCTATTTGTTTTGAAATGTGCATTTTTAAGATTTGTAAAGGTTCTCTGTGTTTTATAATTTAAACAGCATTTTATGGGAAAACAAATAGAAGAACTAATATTGAATTATTGATACAGTTGGTTGTTTAGTTGGCTATTCATTATTATTATTTTATATTTGAATTATAAACATTAGCAAATTCACTTTCTTCATCATGATTGTTAAAGCCAGCTAGAGATGCCCGTACATGCATCTGAAGATGCAACACAACTGGAAATTATAAATGATGGTATAGACCACTGTTGGCACTGTTATTTCGAGGAACCTGCAATTGTTTATGGCTGATAAACAGTTGTTGGCAAAGGGAAACACTGGGATTTTGTTTTTTTGAGTCAAACAATTAGAGCCGGAAATCCCACTGGTATAATCATTTTCACAAATAGTTTGAGTGCACCTTTTATGCTAACGTAAAAATTAGATAATAGACATCATAGAAAGGGCAAAGATGAAAAATTGCCAAAGCTAAAAAGAAAAATAGATTCTCTTTGATGTAAAAGCAACCCAGACTTGATTTTGGGGACTGAATCAATTAAGAGAATTGAAAACAAACATGTGCAACGATATAGTTAGAGCAAAAGTAACGCGCGTTTGATAGGTAGGGGAGACCAAACACCCACTAATTCATCTGAATTAAATTCACATAATTTAATATCTGGCTCAGATAGGATTATCTCCGGTTGAGGATACATGTAATCTAGATAGAAAATAATATATATATATATATATATATATATATATATATATATGTACATTAAATCTCAACGATTTAACAATTAAATTTAAGATTATTAATATATAAATTAAGTATATAAACTTTAAAAAATTTAAAATTTATTTAATATTTTATTTTATTAATTTAAATTGATAGATAATTATAAAAATATTTTATATATTGATTTGAGTTAATAAAAAGAAATATTGAATGATTTTCAAATTTTAAAAATTTATAGATTTAATTTATATATTAAAAATTTTAAATTGAATAGTTGAATCATTAAAATTTGATATAAGATATAAATTATTAATTACTTGAGCTTCCAATATTCGTAACTCCTTAGGACTGAGCTATATATTTTTAAACTTTTATAAACAAAAAGAAAAAACCTTGCCTTTCATTAATTTTTCACCAATTCTCGTTGCGGAGGTTAGTTTTAATCTGAAGATAATGGACACTCATTTCGTTTCTCTTGGTAATCATACTATGATGAGGCTAGAGGCTAGAGGCTCAGTATCAAATGAATGCTACATGAGAAAACAAGTGATCTGTCAAGACATTTCAACATTGTTATTAAGTTTGTACGAGTACAAATGTAAAAATGAAATAATAACATCAATACAATGGAATCGGGTGACATGCATAGTATGTGTTGTCCATAGTATGCCATCACTTCTTATTCGGAGAAAAATAATACCATAAGGGAAGGGTGGGGGATAATAAATTAATCAAATTATCAACTTGATGTAATGTTTCTCTCATTGCATGCTTATGCTGCCTTCTCTATTGATTCACTTGTACTCCTGAATCGTATGTTTCTCCTCCCTTCCAATCTTCGGGTATGTTATTAACAGGAACAACCCATGTTTCTTCTCCCTCTTCTTCATCACTAAACAACATCCTTATAGACAAAGGTCCACTTGGTGGAGAGGCACTAGTCCACACCGCTCCATGGCTCCGATCCAGTAACTTGCACACTAAGTTTTTAGTCTGCGCAAGTATATTATCACAAGCAATTGTTATGTAGTTGAAAATATGATTATTTCATTGTTGATAAGTAAATCATCTTTAGTTTAGTGTTCACAAGACAAGGAGTTAAAAATTGTCAGATTACTACCTCACAGAGCTGCACAGCAGTTATGTCTCTCTTTCCTTGTTGATACCAAATGACAAAAGCCAAGTAATAAGGGTTGTTGCTGCTCTCATCTATCTTGAATGTTATGTTCTTAGATGGGTAGCTGCATGCAACACTGAAGAGAGATGAAAGTAAAAGGCTCAGTTAAGGTAAAAAGCCAAATAATATTGATACTCTATGCATGTGTTAAGAAATGATCTTCTTAATGTTACCGTCTATATTCAATATCAACCACGCCAAGGGCTAATAGAGAAGCAGCTGCATCAGTGGTTTGAGCCATCCGGCTAAAGGCATGTTTGCTAAGAATGAAATCAGTGTTATCACTTGAACCTTGGTCAGTTATGACTGCAGTTACACCATTTTCTGAGCAATAGGCACTGTTGGTACACCTCACCTGTTTAGTAGTAAGATAATAAATCAGTTTCAAACTTCAAGTACTTTTCACAAGTAACCAAAAAAAAATACTGCGAGAATTGTGCAGAAAATGAAATGGTTCCAAAAGATGTGTTAATGTACTAAAAATTAGAGGGTAAGAAAAAAATTGGGTTATAGATCCACCGAAGTGGGAAGCCTTAACAGGATGTGTATAGGAAAGCCCGAAGGCTGTTTCCGTCCCTGTTAGGGGAGATGCCAACCATCTCTCCTTTTCACGAACACATTGTATTAGCGCCAAAAATCACTTATAAAGACTAAAATGTTTTGTTTATTAAGCGATGTGGGACTTTATGAAGAATTTTTTTTTTCCCTCTCTTTTGATAATTAACATGCATATAATTTTACGCCCAGAATCACAATGTAGAGCTACATAATTGAATTTCATCGCATTAGTTTAGTTCTCTTCAAACTTAATGCACTAATCATAGGGTACTCACCTGGTAACAGGCTCCACAGCCAACACCATTTCGATAAAGAGAAGATGCAGCTGATACATCCCCGCCATTGACTGTAGCACCAAAGGAACCAAAACCACATGCACCTACTGAAATGAATTCAACAACAACATGTGAGACAATAGTTTTAGTGTTTTTTTATTTTTATTTTTTATGTTATCTTATTATCAGTTTAACTTCTTACCATCTGTCCCGTGTTCTTCAGAATTCGGATAATATGCTGCCCGAGAATGAATGAAACAATCTGTGCATGAAGTGTCCGCGAGAGTTTGCATGAAAATCAAAGTAATAGCAAAAAGACAACAGAATAGATAAAGAGCCATACGTGTAGAATGGGAAGAAGCAAATGAACAAGTAGAGATTATGGATATATTTAGGTGATGCATGGAGACAGCAACATTTCTAGTATTTATAGAGAATCTGGTCAGCTTACCAACTTTGAAATTACAATAAGAAAAACAATTCACATTCTGAATTCTGAATGAGAAATGTAATTGTTTCTCAGCTACCTGCTTAATTAGACTACGAGATACATACTCGAGTATACGAAGTTGAAACCACTTTCTGACCTTTCAAAACCGGAATATTAATTATCAGTATTTTTATATGATCTATTTAGTTTTGGTTGACAAATTAGAAATGATATTTCCGTTTCCACATTGTTTGTTAAGGTGAAATCCTGGTATAGACTCAACTCACCCAAGTGGATAAGCTAACAAAATAAAGCTGCTTCGGGTGGCTTATTTTAAAATTTGAAAGGAAAATGCTTAAGAAACTCTAATGCTATTAAAATGGCATTAGCCAAAGGTAGAGATGTTTGACTGTAAGAAGAGGGAGTTGAAGTTTGCACACCTAACTACATGATGAGGTGGGTAAAACCAAAGACTCAATTGTTCAGAATGTGAGAATATGTAGTAATAGCAGAAAAGTTAGGCCCTTCTGCACTTTGATATAGTAACCCTACATGGCATATTCTAGTGTTCCCACTTGGCCACATAATGAGAGGACATGATGGAAGGAACTATGTAGAAAGAGCATGAGAAATATCGATCTAACTTGCACAATGCAAAAGGAACAAACTTTCTTGAAATGACGGGAAAAACAACATTGCTGAGGTTCGTCTTCATTAGTTTTTCATTAAAGAGAGAATGATGTTGTGAAAATGGAAACTTGTTAAGTATAAAATCATATTAACTGTGTATTGGTGAATTAAAAAGATGCATGCTCTGTGTCCACACAAAGATTGGTACGAGAAATATTTCTTGACCAGTTGACCCACATCGGCTATGACATGGAAATCACTTTGACATGGAAACCACTTTGAGGCTTTAGACCTGCGTGGCAATTATCACCGACTTAAAATTATTTATTTCTTTTATATTCACATCATATACTTTATTTTATAAGTTAATCACCTATATATTATTAATATTAAAAAAAAATTACACTAATAATTAATTATATTATTTAATTATGCCATGTCACTGTTAAAAATAAATATATTTATAGTAATATAATATAATTAAAAATATAATTAATTATCTTTATACTAGTAGTGTATAAATGATTAACTCTTATTTTATCGAGTCACATATTATCACATTATATAATTAAGTAATTTATTATATTTTATTTTCATAATGCAATTTTATACAATTTAAAAAATATTCATATTTTCATATTATTTTTATTATAAGCAACTCACATAAATAATATTTTATATAAGATATGGTTACTTAAAATTAAATAACTCATGATTCCACCCAGGTCATCTCTAATGAAAAAAAATGAAAATGTAGCATACAACTATTATGAATATCTTATTATTCCTAGTGATAGGCAAAAGAGTCCCACTTGATTATACCATTTCCATTTTCCACATGACCCTAACCAAATAGACAACCATTGAAGAGTGAAGCGTTTTTTCACTGTGGCAAAGCTCTCTAAACATTTAAGAACACACGTGACTCAAATTTAAGACTACCGATGAGGTAGGTTTTATTTAAGATTGTGTGCGCGTGATTTTAATAGTATTGGTTACAAATTATCATATATGAATTGTGATTATTTAACTGTATAAAATTATTTTAAATGTGAATTATTTATTTATTTTATTGTTTTCTATACGCAAAATGTAGACCTCAAGACAACAGTAAATTTTTTGCTACATGTTTCTGTTAAAAAAATATGATACCCATACAGACAAAAAAAAAATAGTTAAGCTACGAATAAAACACGTTTCAGGAATATAATATATGTTCTCTAAAAAAAAAGGAATATAATATATGAAAAATATACTTCAAATTATTCCCAAACAAAGGATGAATAATAATGTTATAATGGTGTATTTGGTAAAATTTATTTATAAACTATAAAAAATTATAAGATAATAAGTTAAGAGTTGAAAAGTTCAAAATTTATAAATTAACTAATTAAATTTAAAATGTTTGATAAAATTAATTACTCAATGTTAAATTAATAACATATTTATTTATTTGATAATGAGAGAATAATATTTAAGTAAGATGGTTTCTAAATTACATAGGGTGAAAATAATTTAAATTAAATTAATAAAGATTAAAAAAAAGGAAAGAAAAGAAGAGAATAATTATAAGTTATAAGTCACTTTATTATGAAAAATAAGTTATAAGCTCATAAAATACACTCAAGTATCAAACAAGTTTATGTCAGTCAAGTTTGCTTATAAATTAATTAAAAATAAATAAATTTCTCAAATATTTTGTCAAATGCACTTAATATTAACATGACCATAAAAAAGTTATAGTGGAAAAATAAATAAAAGTATTAAGACACTTATATTATATTTCTCGTTTGACCGAATTGTGTGTATCTAAGTATCCCTTCCATTAATGTGTTTTATGCTTAATAAATATTAGAAGCATAAATTTAGAAGTGTTTATGTGATCATGATTTTTTTTTTTTTTCAATAAAGAGATATAATTCCTTTTCACTATATGGATTCCTGTAAAAGTAAAGTGATATTTCAATTATAACTTTATACCAAAGTCAAGGATAGAATTTATTGAATAATGAGTACAAATGTTGAATCTCGTATATACTAATAACCATAGATATTGATAACAAAATTATAACAAGAATGCAAATAAAATATAAAAATTTATTAAAAAAATCTCAAAATTTAGTTTAATTGATATTTATATCATATATAATACATTTATATACATTCATTTATATTTAATACAATATTAATTTGTCTATAAAATATTATTAGTATATATAAATATATATATATATAGAGAGAGAAGGGTTCAAACAACACCGGTGTAACTTTTACTAAGTGTTACACCGCTCAATAACTTTATATTAAATGTGAATTTTAAAAATCTAACCGTTAGATGGAAAGTTTATATCTCTTAGATCATATATGTCAAATTTTGTTAAAATTGAACAACAACTTGAAGGTAATCAAAATGTTCATATTTTAGTATATTTTAAAATGTATATATTACGTCAATTTTGTTTTATGAGAATGAAGTATCAAATCATCTTAGATTAATATAAAATTTGATATATATGATCTAAGAGATATGAACTTTCAATCTAATGGTTTGATTATTTATGTATACATTTAATCAAAGTGTCGTTTGAACCCTCCTTTTATATA